ACGGGGATCGGGAGCGCCGGGAGGTGCTGCTCGAGCGAGGCTAAGGCGGCTCCGGATTAAAGGCTGGACGCTCCAGGGACGAGCCTCACGCCGGGCTCCGCGTCGATCTCCACGGATTTCTTCGCATTTCTTATTTCAGGACGTCCAACTCCGCAAGGCGCGGAACCCATAGTGGCCGCAAGGCAGTTTTCTCCTCCGCGGACGCTCGGCTGAACGTGTTTCCCTTCTCAGAAAGCAAAAGCTTCAGCCACAGCTCTGTACCAGTGGCCCCGAACATAAAGCAGAGCGAGAGCAAGAACCAGATGCTGAAGGATTTGATTTACTGTTTTATATAAGGAGAAGTAGGGCAGCTCCTAGAGTTCCTCTTTACTAAGGATTTTCAGTGCAAGAATGCAAGAGTTGAGTAACAGATAGAGCGGCACAGAGTACCGGCCTGCTTCTGACAGACAGCTGTCCATCAGCCCTACGCGGCCAGCCGAGAGAAGAGCAGAGGTTAGCACGTGCCATGGGAAGGAGATGACTTTTTTGACTACTTGAAAACAAAAAACCAAAAAAAACCAAAAAAATCCCAAGGTTTTTCAAACCTACTTAAGGAAACCGATCCTCTTAGACGTCCTGGAGCGTCTCAGCCGTCCGAGCCCATGATCGCTGCCTTCTCAAGGAGCAGGCTGATGGAAATTCCCCTGCGTGTAAGAGATACCTGGGTTTCGCGTAGCTGGGCATGCCAGCCCTGGCGGATTCAGCTTCCACTGCCTCCGTCACGTCCCGAACCGGAGGCCTGGCTCGGTTTGCTGCTGCACTCGTGGTCCTTCGGCCTCTCCTGAAGACGGCGCGGGGCTTTGCTAGCAGCGGCGGAGGAAAGGCAAGGAGACCGTTAAGCTCAGGTGGGGTCTGCGCCTTGCCAAGCGCTCGCGACCCCTCCGCGGCGTTCGTCTGCCGGAGGCGGCACTGCCGAAAGGCCGAAGCAGCAGATCCCCCTTCCTGCCACCTTCAGGCACTTGGCATTCGCAGCAAGCTTTCCTCCGGGGCCAGCGCTGCTGTTTGCTCTTAGTCAAGGTGAATTATTTAGGCAGCTTTAAGGAAAACGTGTCAAGCCAGTTAAGCAATGCAGATGTGGAGGCGTTTGGAGAAGAGAAACAAAGTGGTTTCTCCCGATAGCTGAATTCGGGAGAGCGGGGCTGGCCGAGGCCAAACAGGACGGCATGGGGAGGAGGCCAGAGGGAAACCATGCCGCAGGGGAAAGCCAGACCGGCCCCGCAGGCAACAAACCCTGACCCAGCGAGAAATGGAGACCGAGATCTGCTTTCTTCTGCATTTGTAATCCTGCGGCCCTACCAGTACTCTGCCATCAGGTCCCACAAGCACATCCCCTTCACGAAAGCAAGCTCTCCGCTCCATGAGACATCGAAACAGGGGAAAATAGTGGGGGAAGGCCTTGTACGAAGCCAAATAGCAGAGAAAAAGCACCCCAGCTCCATGTTTTAACCACAGTTAGAGGCCCCGTGTGAGGCACGAAACCATCTTCGAGCTCGAGAGGTTGCCAAGAATGGAAAGAGCTCATTAAGAAATAACAAAGTGCCTCGCAAGTAGGAAAAGCAAAAATTGGGCACAACGCGTCCGCGTTGCTTAACCCAAATAAG